ATTCAACATTAGAAATTTATAAATGGGGGGCACCTGGGTGGCTCAGTCGGTTAAGCAGCCGGCTCTTGATTTTGGCTCAGGTCATGATCTCAGGGTCCTGGGATTGCTCCCCATGTCGGGCCTGAGCTCAGCAGGGAGTCTGCTGGAGGATTTCTCTCCCTCTCCCACTGCCCCTCCCCTCTCTCAAACAAATAAATAAATCTTAGAAAGAAAAGAAATGTATAAATGGAAGAGGGCAGCAACTTGTAGGGTGCCAGCAATGTTCTGTTTCCTGATCTAGCTGCTAGATACATGGGTGTGTTCAATTTTTGAAAACTCAGTAAGCAAAACGCTTCATTCCGTAACAGTCCCCCTACGCCCTCAATTTTTTTTCATGATAGAGACTCTTTGAAAAGACCAGATCAGACATGTTGTCCAGTAGAACGCCCACGTTCTGACTTTGTTTCCTTAGGGTGTCATTTCACTAGCTTCTCTAAACCCTGTATTCCCTATAATTTGGAAAATGAATCTCAAATATTAAATAGTTTCAGGTTATATTTTGTGGCAAGAATGCTTCCTCGGTTTTCTATTGCATCATCACAAGAGGCACATACGAACTTGTTGTCCAGACCTTAGGCCAGTGTAACTATTTCAGTGACATAAAAATTGATCAGTGGGCACATGTTTTTAGGTTTTTTAAAAAATTCCAGTTAGGGGGCGCCTGGGTCGCTCAATGGTTCGGCGTCTGCCTTCAGCTCAGGTCATGTTCCCAGGGTCCTGGGATCCAGCCCTTCATCGGGCTCCCTGCTCCGCCGAAGCCTGCTTCCCCCTCTCCCACTCCACCTGCTTGTGTTCCCTCTCTCACTATGTCTCTCTGTGTCAAATAAATAAAATCTTAAAAAAAAAATTCCAGTTAGTTTGGACACCTGGGTGGCTCAGTCGGTTGGCAGTTCGATTACTGGTTTCAGTCGGGTCGTGATCTCAGGGTCGCAGGGTTGAGCACCCTCGAGGGGCTCCATGTTTAAGGGGTAATCTGCTGGAGATCCTCTCCCTCTCCCTCTGCCCGTCCCCCAGCTCTCTCTCTCTTTCTTTCTCTCTCAAAATAATAAATCTTCAAAATTAAAAAATAAAACAAAACAGGGGTACCTGAGTGGCTAGTCAGTTAAGGGTCTGCTTCGGCTCTTGTCATGATCCTGGGGTCCTGCGAGCCAGCCTCCCATTGGGTTCCCTGCTCAACAGGGAGTCTGCTTCTCCCTCTGCCTCTCCCCCTGCTTGTGCTCTCTCTCCCTCTCAAATAAATAAAGGAAGTCTTTTAAAAAATAAATAAAATAAATTCCAGTTCGTTGACATACAGTGTAATATTAGTTTTAGGCGTACAATATACTCATTCAGCTCTTCCATACAACACCTGGCGCTCATCACAACCAGTGCCCTCCTTCGTCCCCATCTCCTATTTCACTCCTTCCCCCACTCACCTCCCCTCTAGCAACCATCAGCTTGTTCTCAATAGTTAAGTATCTGTTTCTTGGTTTGCCTCTGTCTCTCTGTCTCTCTTTTTCCCCTATTCTAATTTGCTTCGTTTCTTAAATTCCACAGGAGTGAAATCATAGGGTATTTCTCTTTCCATGACTGACATATTTCACTTAGCATAATACACTCTAGCTCCACCCACATTGTTGCAAATGAAAAGATTTCATTCTCTTTTGTGGCTGAGCAGTATTCCATTATATATATTATATATACATATATATTCCATTTTCTATATATATAGATTCCATTATATGTATATACCACATCATCTTTATCCATTCATCAACTGATGGACATTTGGGCTGTTTCCATAGTTTGGCTATTGTAAATAATCCTGCTATAAGCACGGGGTGTGTGTATCCCTTCGAATTAGTATTTTTGTATCCTTTGGGTAAATAGCACTTGCTGGATCACTGGGTAGTTTTATTTTTAACTTTTGAGGAGTCTTTCTACCATGTTCCAGAGTGGCTGCACCAGTTTATATTCCCACCAGCATGCAGCAGTGCTCCCCTTTCTAATCAGTGGGCATTTTTTTGTGCAGAGACAAATTTGTATACAGAAATTACAAGACTAGAAAACTTATCTACCAGGCTGGTCCTCAACAGAAGGAAAGCTGTCTATGGCATGCCCACAGCTAACATCATACTCAGTGGTGAAAGGCTGAAAGCTTCTCTATTAGAATCAGAAACAGGACAAGGGTGCTCATCCTCACCACTTCTATTAAGCATAGTACTGAGAGTCTTAGCCAGAGCAATTAGGCAAGAAAAAGAAATAGAAGACATTCATGCCAGAAAAGAAGTGAAATTCTCTTTGTTTGTAGGTGACATGATCTTCTATAGAGAAAACTCCAAAGGCTCCATGAAACAGTCAGAACTAATATACAAATTTAAGGAAGGTGCAGGATGCAAAACCAATCTACAGAAATCAGTGCATTTCTATCCACTAACAAAGAACCTATGGCAAACTACCCGGAAAACAAAAGGTTCCCATTTCCCATGGCATCAGAAAGAATGAAATGCTTTGCCCTGGCGGGGCCCTGACGGGTGGAAGCAGGCACCGGGGAGGCAGGGAGTAGTCCAGTCTGTAGGGTCAGAGGCAAGGGAGCTCTGCTCTGTGGGCACCAAAGATGCTGCTTGGGAGGTAACCCCCAGCCCCCACAGACTATGGGTCAAGGAATAAGCAGAGTCCACTCAACCAGAAGAGAAGCAAAGATAAAGCACAATGGCTTCAGTGTCTAATGGGAAGCAAGACCAAGGTCCCCATTTGCCACCACCAAGAGAGCAGAGCCTGTAGTTTTGGAGTACTGCCCAAAGATGCACTTGCCTGTGTCTTGGCATTTGGCTTTGCAAAGGCGTCATACCTAGGAGAATGCCAGAGTAAATTCCACTCCTTGGACGATCTGCTCTTTCTTGGCCCAGGAAATAGCAGGAATGGCTGCTTATGGGTGAAGAATGCAATATAAAGGATGCATTGAGGGGCGCTGGGTGGCTCAGTGGTTAAGTGTCTGCCCTTGACTCAGGTCACAATCCCAGGGTCCTGGGATCGAGCCCTGCATCGGGCTCCCTGCTCAGCGGGAAGCCTGCTTCCCCCTCTCCCACTCCACCTGCTTGTGTTCCTGCTCTCACTATCTCTCTCTCTCTCTGTCAAATAAATAAATAAAATCTTTAAAAAAAAATAAAGGATGCATTGAATGAAAAGGGACATTCACAGCCTTCACCTTCCTAAACTCTGTATCTATTGAAGTTTCTTACACCTCTGAATTTAAACTTTCAAGTGCACTTTAAAATAGTATACACAGGGCGCCTTGGTGGCTCAGGTAGTTAAGCGTCTGCCTTCGGCTCAGGTCATGATCCCAGGGTCCTGGAATCGAGTCCCGCATCGGGCTCCCTGCTTCTTGGGAGCCTGCTTCTCCCTCTGCCTTTCTCTCTCTCTGTCTCTCATGAATGAATAAATAAAATCTTTAAAAATAAATAATATAAAATAGTATACATAGAGTGGGGCAGAAACATTGTGAAAACTCTCACTCTGTTGGGATGGTTTCTGTGGAAGATTCTCAATGAAATTGAACAGTAAATGTTTTCCTACTGTGAAGAACCTATTGAGAGTTCTTCACATGGAAAAGAAATTATGTTGCAACTAACTTGTTTACAGCTAAGTAAAAGAATTCAGTCTTCTCTGAAAAAAAAAGAAAGAAAAAGAAACAAAATAATTGGACTAAATGTCATCAAGGAGGAGAAAGATCTTTAGTCTAAGACCGTGAGATATTGATGAAAGAAATTGAAGCACACACAAATAAATGAAAAGATATGCCTTGTCCATGGGTTGGAAGAATTAATACTGTTAAAATATCCATACTATTCAACATGACCTATAGATTCAATGCAATCCCCATCAAAATTCCAACGGCCTTTTTCAGGGAAGGGGAAAAAAAATTCCAAAATTTGGGTGGAACCACAAAATATGTCAAAGAGCCAAAGAAATCTTGGGCAAGAAGAACGAAGCTGGAGGCATCACTCTTCCTGATTTCAAACTACATTTCAAAACCGCAGTAATGAAAGCAGTATGGCATTGTGACAGCCCTCCACCAGGCTTAAGGGTTCATGTGTTCCAAGCACGTGTGCCCCCTTGCTTATTGACCCCAGTCCCATGATCTGTAGCAGAACTAACCTACTTTCCTTGGGATTTGCAGACCACTGGCGTCGAGGAGTGAAGGACCAAACTTTCCCAGGAGATAAGGCCTGCCTACTTTGGAAAATAGCTGCCCTGGGTGCCAGCAAGTCTGTTCATGGTCATGTCCGCATATTACCAGCTGCTTCGGCACCTGCTTCTCCTGCCCACAGCCGCCCTCCCTTTTCTCATGCCTTCCGCTTTAAAGCACCCTCCACTCCCGAACCCCCTGGACGGGGAACTTGATCTTTGAAACATTAGTGCACGGTCTTCCCAGCATGCTGGCTTCCCGATTAAAGCAACCTTTCTTCACCTACCATGCCTTGTCCCTCATGTATTGATTTTTGAGGTGTGAGCAGCCAAACCTGAGTTTGGATCCAGTCTCAGTCAGGTAACAGTATTGACAGAAACACAGAACAATGGAAAAGAACAGAGAGCCCTCAATAAATTCCTGCATATATGGTCATCGGATCTTCGACAAGGGTGTTAAGAATACACAGTGGGAAAGGATAGTCTCTTCAACAAATGATGTTGGGAAAAGTGGATATCCACATAGCAAAAGAATGAAATTACACATTTACTTTACACATACACAAAAATCAACTCAAAATGGATGAAGGACTTCAATATAAGACCCCAAACCATAAAACTTCTCAAAGAAGACATAGGGGGAAAGCTTGATGACATTGGTCTTGGCAATGACTTCATGCATATGATACCAAAAGCACATGCAATAGAAATGAAAATCAACAAGCAGGACTATTTCAAACTAGGAAGCTTCTGCCTAGCAAAGGAAA